CTCACTGCCTGGAATGCTGTCTCCCTGGATACTGAAACCTTTCTCCGCACTCCTTCAGATTTCTGCTCAAGTGTCACCTTAGCTAAACGCTGGTCCACACTACTCTATCTAAAACAGCATTTCCTTTTTACCACTACTTTCTATTTCCTTACCCTTCTTTTTTCTAAACATACCATCAGAAAGATGTGTTGATTGAGGGTCTGTGTCCCCAATAAAACTTAAACTCCGTGAGGGTCGGAATTTGGTCTGCTGAATGTTGATGAGTAAATGAATGTCCCTAGAGGAGCATTTAGCAGGTGCTGGGGACTGTGGAGGGACAGGAGACAGGATTTGGGTTTCTCAGGGTTTCTTCTAGTTTAGCCTTCTAGTCAAAGACTAGAAAATCCTTGCTAGATATTGGTTCTTTGTTTGTCTCCTTCTCAGGTTATAACTTGTGTGAGGGCTGTGTTCTTATCACCACCACCAATATGGTGTGGCCCTTCTTGAAAATAATGATTACTAACATGTTTTTAAATGAACTGTGAGACTCTTAACCCGTATCATGTCATTTAATACAATTCAATAGATATTGTTATCATTTCCCATTTTACGGTTGAACTGACTGAGGCGTAGAGAGGTCCGAGAGCTTGATCACGGAGCTGTTAAGAGGATGACATGTGAATGTGTACAGTCCAACCTTCAGAGTCTGAATTTCTAACTAACCGCTGTGGTTCAACTCCCAATGTTGTTCTGGACCTATGCTCTCTCCCAGGGTGACCTCATTCAGTCCCACGGATTTTAATATTGTCTATATCCCAGCCACACTTACTTTGTATCTCCGACCCAGACTGCTCCCCTGAGCACCAGACTCATTTATCTGACTACTCACAAGATATCTTTTTATGGGTATCTTGAACTTAACACTTCCAAAACTGAATTTATGATCTGTCTCCATGCCCCCACAGCTGAACCTGTTTGCCCCTTAGTGTCCCCGTCTCAGCAGTGCTGTCATGAGATGTAGAGATGGGTACATCTGTATACATGTCTTTGAGAGATGGATTGCTTAGATTAGATAATAGCCTGCTATGTCTTATTTTCCTAACTGTTGCCTTATTTAACTTTCCCTTACTAAATCGTGACATACCAAGGCAAGGACCATGATTTATATATCTTTGCATTCCTAGCACCTGTTACATCGAAGGTGTTCAATACGTTCTTGTTGAATGAAGGAAAGAAAAGGAACGTTTTCTGTGAATCATATCTATTTCTACTCCAGGTAGTTTCCACACTGCTATTTAATTTCTCCCATTTTTCTTCTAAGGATATTTCCCAGATTCCTGTAAACGGTCATTTTTCTTCTCCCTACGTTCTAACCTAAGGGATCTTTATTGCAGTATATTAATGAAACAACTCTAGGTTTCAAAAAAGCCACTTTAATTTTTCTTCACTTTGGCACTTGTACACTTGTTTATGTGGAAAGGAATACTTGATAATGAGGAAAAACCTATTTAGACACAGTAGCATAATCATTCATCCATAGAGAAAAGAGTGATATATAAGCCATATAAAGCAATCATGTATTTCACATTTATTTTTCTGGGCTGAAGTTCAGTGTGTCCTTGAAAGACTGAGTAAAATAATTAGCCCTCTCCACACACACACACACACACACACACACACACACACACACACACGCTTGGGCACATGTGTATGCATACACACAGGATCTAAGAATAGATATTTATTATCATACAAGGGAATTCAGGTAACATTTTTCTCAAGTTTATCAAAATACCTTTTAATAGTTTCACATAAATTCTCAGTTCATTAGTAGCTTAATTTTGCTCTTTGTTTTTCTTGTTTTGTTTTCTAAAATAGGAAATTCTTTTCAGATTAGTTTGTATAAACTGATAAACAATTCGGAGATTGTGCATCTTTAATACATGTACAAAGCCATGAATTTACTTAAGCCTCGGAGTTTATTAGGTAAAATTGACAAGGGAGCCAAGGGATGCGGGTAAGGACTCAGCTCTGTCTGGAATAAACATTCTGTTTGGCTGTGAGCAAGAGCCTTCCCATAGTCTCTCCCTCCTCCTTTAAGAAGTTGAAGGAAAGCCTCTCTCCAAGGTTTATGTGGGAATGAAATAAGGTAATGTGTAAAAGTACGTCCAAAATTTAGTGTTTCCAAAACACTAAAAAATAATAATAATAAGTCGAGTCTTATTATAATTGAAATAATAAGAAAAAGTCATTTTTATCATGCTGAATGAATCAAAACAGCTGTGCTTTTATGCAGAAAATGGTCGAGCGGAGAATTTTAGTTGACTCAGTGTGTGTTCCGATAATGAACTTGGCTTTTCCATGACATGTGGCATTTAAAAGTACAATATACTAATGTATTCTTAATGTTTTTATACATTTATGGGGATATATGAATGCTTATTTGTCCACTAGATGGTTTATTTTCTGTAAAACTAGCAATCAAAGTAATTCCATGAAGAAAGTATATTCTAAGATTATATTCTGCTCTAAATCAAAGTATGATTGATTCTGTGAATCAAGAGTTAGTTATTCCCATATTGTCTTCCGTGTTGCACACTTTTATTGTTTCTCTCCTAGATGAGAGAGAAACCACAGTGAATCTCGGAGGAAAGCCAGGTGAATCCGACAAATTCCTTTCTCACAATTAAAATTTCCAAATGAGGAAGCCATAAAACCATCCCAGACTCTGAAGTATACCTTTAATATAATCAAAAAGACCCATTTTTAGGAAATACATTATTTTTTTCCACTTTATAACTTAAAGAGCTGTACTATCTCTGAAAAACAAGTGCCGCTCTTTTCCAAGGCACAGAAATGCTCAGCTGATAAGCTGTGAGAGCATCTCGGATCAGTGCATCTGCAGACATGAATGGGACAGGATGGAGAGGTTTTTTTGTGTGCGCCATGTTTCTGTACGTTCTGGACAGACATTGCCACCTATGAGGTCATTCCTCCTGGCTACTTAGCAGTAAGACCCTGTGCTGGGAAGACTGAATGTAATAAGCTACTGCACAGACAAGCGGTTTGTGCAGACACAGCACTGGTCATCACATCTTCAGGGGTTGCCGACTTGTCCGTTCGTTCCCTCGGTGTTTGCTTCAGCAACTCGGGATGTTGGCACCAAGAGTTATTTCATCGACAATCACTTCACAGGACCCACAGCTCTCACATGCGCCGGGACTAACTGTTCACATGTCACTAACTATAGTCATGAAGTACACAAATACTGGTTGTGTGCTCCCTCTGAACCAGGCGCTGTGCTACGCCTGGAGGAATCAGCCATGAATAACGGGAACATCTCTTTTCCTCAGGGCATTTAGGTAGGGATCTGCTTGTCCTAAGCCTAAAGAGAAAAAACTTATTTCAGGCTGAACTACCAGAAAGTTTGAATTTTTCAGAGCAATATGAGAGAGTGCCCCCACCCCACCCCCTAGCATTGTGGATTTGGGCCTTGGCCCTCCTCCCCGTGGGAAGTTCAGCATCACCAGCGACTCTGAGTACATTGTAGCCGAGACCAGTTTGATTTTTTGTAATATCTTGAGGATATTCATTCCTATGAATTAAGTACAGTATTTATAAGCCTTGCAAAAAAAACCCTAAATGAAAACATGAGAAATGATTACAATTGTACATCATCTACAACTGGAAAACAATTCCCTGTAGCACAAATTGACCCCAGTTAGAGCCCAAAGTTGAGCTGCTATTTTTGCCACCTGCGAAAAAATACTAGATTGTTTCTAAATACTATTATAAGGAGAATCGAGCCACAAAGGCCTAACATATGTCAACATTCTTAAACTATAAAACTTTAAATGACATGCAGTCCAGAACGACCCTGTGTGAAGAAGAGATGGATAAATCGTTGGCCACGTTGCTTATTTAAACTGGTTTGACTCACTGTTTACTCATCTTCTGCCTTCGTCCACAACCCAGCCCTCGCCCTGGGAAATGACTTCCAAAGGAAATCTCATCATTGGAGATGTCTCTTTGGCCAGAGACATAGGCTAAAACCTGTTAGGTGTTTATCAAGATGCGAAGTCCTAGTTTTACTTCTCTAAGTTCTGTGTTGACAAAACAAACAAACAAATAAAAACCCACAGAAGGCAAAGATTTTGGGTCAGAGAACGTACTCCTTTGAGAAAGCATGGCCTGATACTGACCCAGCTTTAAGTCTCATCTCTTAGGCGCCTCTATCTCTCCACCAGCAACAACTTTCTTTGGTGTGGACGATCAGAGCGTCTCTCCCTCTCTCTGCCTCCACTGCAGCTCTCCCTTGTAATTGATTCTCCACACAGCAGCCAGAGTGATCTTTGGAAACCTAAATCCAAACAGCTTGTCAGTGTCCCTAGAATAAATTCCAGCCGTCTGGTCGTGGCCGGTGAAGCCCTGCACGCTGTTGCCCCTGCTCACTCTCTTAGCCTCCTCTTGTGCCAGTCTGATTCCTACACTCAGTCTCTCTGCTCTCTTTTCTGTCCCTCAAACATAAGACATACCGAACGATTTCCGAACTTAGAACCTTTGCGCCTGGAACACTGATCCCATGGTCTTTACCCAGTTGGCTCCTTCTTTACATCTCAGCTCACGTGTCCTCTCCTCAAAGAGGGCCTAAACCTTGACTTCTTTTCCAAAATAGTATGTGACCCCATCCCATAATTCTGTTTCCCATTACTTTTTTACCTTCAGAACACTCATCACTATCTGAAATTATCCTCCTCTTTTTAACTTTTTGCCATCTTTTTAAACATATTTTTGCAGAATGTCAATGCCATTCATATCTCTTTCCTCACAGCTGGTTCTCCAGGGCCTGACACCCAGTGGTATATTTGTTGAATGAATAGATGCACATTTAACGGCCCAGTTTACTGTTGAAGAATGCCACAAACTCGAACTCCATACAAGTTCTTGCATTCTAAGTTCCAACTTAAACTGTAGGAGACTTGGATATACTTTTCAATTTAGTTTCTTTTTTTCTGTTTCAGTCCTCTGTAATAAATAGTGACATTATCTTTGTGAAGTTGCATGCCCCATGGGAAGTGCTTGGAAGATACGCAGAACAAATGAATGTAAGAATGCCTTTCAGGTAGGTGTAAATATATTTCCCCCGACTCTGCCGCTTCGGTGTAAATGTAATGTGCTTCTTCTTTCTCTCAGAACGAGTAAAACTGAAACGCAGTGCTATTACAGAAGAAAATTCTTCAGATATTTAGGAAGTGCAATATGTCTTCATGGCCAATAATGATTTCATGACTTTTTGTGAAATTTCCTGGCTAATTCATTCCTTAGCTGGTAGCTATTACTAGTGCCTGTGAAAAAGAATTTTCTAAGTAGCGTTTTCATTTCCACAGCGCCATTTTTGGAAGCCTCGTGTACTGCTGCATTGAAGGGCCAGACTCCAGGTATCAGCAGTGCTAGGCTGTATTCATGGTCATTACCGACAGGTCCCTTCCAGGAAAACATTAAAATCTGCTCCTATGGAAACACATCCAAGAAATTTCATGAAAATGTGCTCTATTGTTAAAAACAACCTATTTTTAAAATTTAAAGTGCCACTTTATAAATACTGTGCAAAGATAAGCGTTGATATTTATTCCAAGAAGAATAGAAACTACTTTGTGTGGATTGCTTAGTTGTTTATGAGGAATAATTTACCTTCATCTTAAAGTGAACATTCTTATTTTCCCTGTAGATTAAGGAAAAGTGATCTTCATTTGCTAGATGGAAATAAAATCATGTATTAAACCTGACGTTATAATTGCCAAGATGTGTGGGAAGTCCATAATGGAACTGGGCGAGGGATTTAGAAACAAGGACAGTTCCAAAGGGAATAAAGAATTACATACTTTGGGTTTGCAATTTGCCAATAAGATCAAGTCAGACAATAGGAAAGTGGCAAACTAGTGCCAATTCTAAAATCTGCCTCTTAATGAACTGTAGAAAGTAATAGAGACAAAGAATCAGCTGCATTCATAGAAACAGAGGAGCTAGGAGCACATTTCGAGAAAGGCTATTTGCATTCATAGGCCTGTAATATATCTCCCTGGTGGGTATTATTTTCTTTGTTTGTTGGCCTTTATGTTCTAGTATTAACTCAAAATAGAGGCTGGGATTTCTAGCATCTATTTCCCTCCCGGCAGATTCTCAAAGAAATTGAGATAAATATAGTTCTCATCTTTGAATTTAAAATGTTATGAAGAAAATCTAAGAACCCAAAGATTTAAAATATGAATGTTTATCACTGAGAGAGAGCAGGAATAGCAATTTAGTTTCCATTGAAAATCATTACACTACAATTATAATTAATTAAAGCCAGTTATCAATGCTATAACTATCTAATATGGATTAATAATATATTGTACATAAGGACCACTACAAAATATGCCTGGATGGAGTCAAATATCAGACCAGCATCTTGTAGCCAACAAAGCCAAAAGTCTATCTTTTGATTAAAGTAAGGTAGTGAAACTTAGTGAAATTGATAACCCCTCCTCAGTAGAAATCTCACAAAATCTTCTGCCAGAACACACATCTGGAGCCAAGAACCCAAGCAGATGGTGGAAACCTGAGCAGTGTTAATGCACAGCATGTTCCCTTTGTACCTAGAAGGATTTCCTGTGTGAAGGGCCTGGCAGGCTCATTACCTAGAGGAAAAGTGCCATCTGCAAGATCACTAATACTTTTCTCATGCAGCATGAAGAGACTGATCCAAGCAATAAAATGAAAACCATATCTCTGAATACTAATCTTCTTCTTAAATGTAGAGATTCCTGCAGGACAACAATTTTAGGAGAAGATACTATTGATGTGTGGACACTAATAGGCCTCATTAATATTGATGTGATTTTATCTGAGCATAATTTCACTTGATGCAACCTGATGCATTTAAAACTTATGTTATCATCTCATCCAGCGTTTCAAACAAATAACTCTATTTAAGGACATATAAGAATTTCCAAAGGAGGAGCTGCCCTGCCATAGCATTTCAATAAAATATACAAACACCAATTTGCCTGAATGTAAATGCCCCTAACAATCTCATCTGTATTTATTATTTTCTGCAGACTGTCCTTCTGAATTCCAGGGTTAGTCTCCTTGCATCGTTATTCTTACAGTGTTTAAAAGGAAGTTGAGGAATAGGTTTCTTGTGGGATATTGCCAGTGAGACTTTATTCTTAAATAGCTATGTGTCCATGAACATGGGGCTTTTCTTAAATTAATAGACTATTTTTAGAGCATTTTTAGGTTTACAGAAAATCAAGTAGATAGTATAGAGTATTCCCATATACCCTTTCTTACCTCACTCAGTCTTATTATTAATATCTTGCAACGGTGTGGTATATTTCTTATCATTCATAGACCAATATTAATACATTATTATTAACTAAAGTCCATAGTTTAGAGTTCACTCTGTGTGTCAGACAGATCTATGGGTTTTGACAAATGCATCGTGTCACGTATCTGCCTTTATGGTATCATATGGCATAGTTTCCCTGCCCTAAACACTTCCCTGCAATCCACCTATTCATCCCTCCCCCTTGGCCCCACCACAACCCACTGGCAACCGCTGATCTTTTTATCATCCCTATAGTTTTGCCTGTTAAAAACATGGTTGCATTTTAAGTTTTCACAGATAGGAAAAATAAGCTTTGGTATAGAAACTTTCCATTTTCCAAAAGCCAGATAGCTCAGTGACAGTTCAGAATACACATAAACTGCCTCAGTTTTATTACGGCGACATTGGTTGAGGCCCAGAATATGGAACGGGAGATTGCATTTTAATAAACCGTCTAACACATATTCTTTTTATTCAGACTGCCTAATGTTAAAAATTGCAGATGCATGGAAGTGTGACAGATCCTGCTTAAGTTCGATTTAAAAAATTCCAGGATTCTTTGGTTTACTCTTTAATTCACCTATAACCAGAGCCACCGATTAGGCAGTCTGCCCTAGTGTGGTTATTTACAACCGGATGTTGGTACTGACTAGTTAGTGTTCTTCCCATACTGGTTTTAAAAAGCTATATTTTTATGTTACCCCGACTATATCAAATGTGAGAAGCGTTCTGTAAAGTGCTAGAGAAATTTAATAGTGTCCCGTTAAATTATGTACATTGTCAGCAGGCTGGCAGTGCATCTCTGCATCCCTGAAAAAAAGCTGATCTCAGCTGAATCCATACAAATACCAATTACTCCAAATCATCACCCTGTACACATTTTGTAGGCAAGTGGCAACCATAAAAATTATGGTAATGAGGAGAGGAAGATGTATCAATGGGAAACGTTTCATAAGATTTCATGACTCAAAAAATGCATGCCCGACGTTCCCGCAACATTTCTCACTGTTAATCTCTTTTTAGTTTTTTCTTCTTCACCTCTTACAGGCTTCTATCTTCAATCTCCTTTCCTTCCTTGCTAGTTCAAACTGTAACTGACGATGGGTTTTCTTCTCGACTGGCTTCATTTTTGCTGTTCTTCCAGGAGAAAAATCTATTACCTGCCCCGCCGGTACAAGTTCATGAGCAGGTTAGTAGCATGCTCTGTCGTGATACTGTTTGTTTGACTGTTGCCTTGTGTGCTCCAGCAATGACAATACATGCTGGGGAAGATGGGCCTTAGTCACCTGGGGAAACTGTGCACATTCCAAAAATGGCTCTTTCAGGTTAGCCGGGAGAAGAAAAAAAGCAAAAATGAAAATATCCCTCTCAGAGTGTTTTCTGTGACTTCCTCACACTTGGGAGGACACAGTTCATCTGCAGGTGGTGTGTTGGGGCTGTTTTTGTTTGTTTAAGCCCATTCTCTTAGATAAATTACCAAACATCCCAGCTGCTTAGCGTATCTTTGGCCTGAATGTGACTTTTTTCCACACAATTTCCACCCTCCATTATAGGTTACTTGAAATCTTGACGTGCAATCCCCTTTTCAAAAAGCTGACGATTGCTAAACGCCTCCCTTGTGGGCGGGGCTGTGTTAGTAATATTTTGTTAATAAAGTATGTAGATGTGCTACCTCATTCAGGAGCCCTTCCTACCCTCTTTTGTTTTTTTACCACACACCCACCAAAAAAAATCCTTACTGTACTATATCTTTCCCAAACTTTTTCTCCTTGTTGTTTGTTGCGAAGTCAGGGAGAAAGAGGAAGCATCAGCTCTGTCCTTGACTTTGATTGTGTTGTGGTGATTGACAGTCTTATTTCTAATTGGTCCTATGTGACCGTTCACCCTGAGCTGAGGTGATGATTAAACTTGAACACCACTGCCTTTCCCTAGAAATCACATACTTAGTTCAGTTCTGTGGGATTTAAGATTCAAGTTCACACTATTTGTGCTATGTATAGTGATAAGTAAAAGAGTAATTGGTATTTCCTAGTGGCGTTAGTCAAATGCACATACACTGAACAAAGCATGGTGTGAGAACTGGCATCCAAAGAAACTAAGATGTTATGCTTTCCCAAGATTTCCCTGTGCAGTATCCTTAGCAGGGCATTCATTAGGCAGTAGCTGTGGCATTTGAATTCATCCCAGTTTAGATTAGTCCCTTGTCGCATAATATGTACATACTATAAAAGCCTTATGCAACTCTTTAGCCTGTGTCAATAGTTCTCAGTAGCTCTTAAACATCAGCTGGCCTCAGAATCACTTGGAGGATTTGTTAAAACACAGATCACTGGGCCCTGCAGGGGGTCTGTGGTGGTCCTGGGGAATTTTCATTTCTTATAGGTTCCCAAAGTGAGACTAATGCTGCCAGTTTGGAACCATGCTTTGAAAACCACTGGTCTTTGTGATAGGTCCATCTCCACCTTCACAATAAATTAAGAATGTGCGTGATTATGGATGGAGCGAATTAAAACTTAAATCACATAAAATCTGAAAGAAACACAATAAGGTGAAGCGAAGATTCTCCCAACTTTCATGGCACAGTGGAAATATCCAGTCTGTCCATACCGTTTCAGTCTGTTCAATGCAGTACATTCCAAATGCCTAAAAGAATGAGAAGTGGGGAGAAGGCTTACTCTTGTTCAAATTTGCCAAACAGCCTTCATTAAATATTAAACATAAATCTTTAAATCATGGTACTGGCTGACTTTGGGCAGATTTCCTCACATATTTTAGCCTAAGTTTTTTGCATTTGTGAAATGAAGACACTATTCATCATTCTCAAGGGTTCCTGTGAGGTTCAGTACCTAATACGTAGATCTTCAATAAATGGTAACAGTGATTATTAGATGTAACATTTATAATAATAACCTTGTATCTTTTCCCACCTCCTTTCTGCTTCTAAACTTGTTATCCATCTCCTCTAGTCTCTCCTTTCTTCTGCCCTCAAGCGACGAGTCCATTAACTCTGTTCTGATTTCACTTGTCATTTTCTCCATTTATATTCCCTGTACAGGCCTTGTCCACTCTCCACACAGTCACTTAACTTAAAACCCAAGGGCCATTCTAGATGATTTGCTCCCTCGTGTAATCAGTCTTTCGAGTTCTACAGGTGCTGCCCCAGGAATACCTGTAGAATCCAAACACTACTCACCATTTCTACCCCCACTGCCTTAGCTGAGTTCTCATCACCTCTCGCCTATTTTATATCAATTTATCTCCCTCCTCTGTTCTGACCCTCTTCCAAACTCTCTTCTAGTCATCTCCCTAAGTAGCAAATATGATCATGTCACTTGTTGGCTTCCCTGTGATGGGAAGTTAAAGCCTTCCTCTTAAAATACAGCCCTTTGTAAGTTGTCTTCATACATCTCTCTCCTACCATCACTCTTTGCTTCATCCATATTGAACCACTCATGGCTTGCAAACACATTATGCTTTCTCAGACTTATGTACCTGTGTATTTAGTTTTCCTTCTGGAAGATTCTTTCCCTTCTTGTTCACCAAGGTAATGTCCATTCAGTCCTTAAAACTCAGTCTACATGGTTAGGCCTTTTGACCAGGTTAAATGATGCCTTTTCTCAATTCTCCCATGGACCCCTTATATCTATGATGTAGATGTCCAGAAGGCAAGAATAGCTCATCCAACTATTAGCAAATAGTAGGTGGAGTGAGCGAATGAAATAATCTCCATTCACGCGTGTGAGGATTGGAATGGGGGGAAAGATCACAGAGAAAAGCAGCATAGAAAAACCAGGTCTGCCTAAAGGATCAGACAGACTTGAGGCTGAAACATCTGCTCACACTGTGAAGGAGGCGTGGGCAACGCGGGCTTGAAAGAAAATGATAAAAGGAACTGTGCTATCTCAAGGTTGGCTAGGGTATCAAATGTCATCAAGTCTAACCACTGTCACATACTTGAGCCTATGCTGTTTGGTCAGTTAGCCCATGTTTGAATATCTTGAGACAGAATTCCCAAACACGTCTGTGGGTACCTCTGACTGTTAGAAAGTTCTTCTGTAATCTCTCTCACGTGCTTTCACTCTGAAGAACACTTAGATTACAGTTCTGCCTTCTAGATGGATGAAAAATAATCTACAGAGCAAAGAGGCAAAGTACACGAGGAATGTTGTGAAATGATAGACTGAAAAATAATCTACAGAGCAAAGAGGCAAAGTACATGAGGAATGTTGTGAAATGATAGAAAGACTTAGTACTTGGCAGGTATTTGGAATTGAGAGTCGAGAAGTGAAATAGATTCCCATAGCTAAGGGATTCGGAAAATGTGGTTGAAAGTAAAAAGAATGGACATCCAGAAGAGAGAGAGGAATGATGACAAAGGTGATCTTCCTTTTAATAATTCTGTGTGATAGCTCACAGAAGGTCTTTGAGGCGTTAATGCCCCGAAGGCCGTTGGAGCTGATGGGAAAACAGTGGAAGCTAGAGATAAAGCTAAAGAATAAAATTTGGAGACCAAAGGCATAAATGTATGACTTTATCCAAGGGAGAAGGTGGAATTTCCCAGTGCAGGGTGTAGCGAGTGAAGAGCAGAGAGCCAGTAGCAACTCCTTGGAAAATCTGCATTAAGGAGACAGGAAGAAATGGGAAGAGGATGAAAAGGAGCAATTTAAGAAGGAGGAGGAGAACTAAGGGAGAGCAGTGTCGAAGGCACCAGCAATGAGTTCCCACATGAAGGGGTGTTCTTCAGCTACTGATGAAAGATGAGAGATGAGAATCGGGTTTTGATTACCATGGTAACCATCATGCTAGCAGTCTCCATGGAGTCGCGGTTCTCAAACTTTAGTACGCGTCACGATCATCAGCAGGGTTTCTAATACTCAGATTGCTGGGTCCATCCCTAGGGTTTCTGAGGTGAGGCTCAATAATTTGCTTCTCTATCAAGATCCCAAGTGATGCTGAGGTTGCTGGTCTGGAACTACATTTTTGGAAATGTCCACTGAGCAGAGGGTAATGGAAACCAGATTAAACCAGCTGGTGGAGAACAACGAGGTCCTGACGAATCCGAGGCAGTCAGGGTTCACTACTATGATAAATTTTGTGGTAGAGGAAAGGAGAAAGAGGGCATAGGATTTAGAAGAGGAGCCAAGAAGAAAGAAGCAGACGAGACTATGGAACGCATGACTAATCATGTGTTCTCCATATGTATAGAGGGGAGATTTTGAGTGAATAAGAGCTTGAGAAATCCTTGTTTCTAGAACTTGAAGAACAACTTACCAAACACTAATTTCTGGCTTGAAAAAGTCGATGCTACTTCAGGTGCATAAATCAGGACCATAGAAGAATTTAGGCTTTAGGAGGCACTGGAAGACTTGGAGGGTTGGGGGCAGGAGAAGTCTAACTATAGTAGTATGACGCCGATTCAGAATGACCTTGAGCTTCATTGCTTACCACATAGAGTTAAGTTTTGGACATCACTATGGTGGTAAAATGTGTGAAGCTCAATATTTGGTGTAAATTTTCAAGTGCAGTTTGTCAAAAAAATTGCATATCTAGTTTAACTCTTCCTTTCACCTCAGAACAGGCTGGTTTTGATGATGAGGAGTATCTGTTTCTTTGTAGCCAGGTCCGATGTTACAGACTGAAAGGCACATCTACAACACGTCCTGGCTGTACACCAGTAATAAAACATTGACTTACGTTATTCTCAAATTCTCATATCATACTAAATATGCATATTTAATTTAGCTTTTAGTTTCATCCACATAAGTGATATTTCATTTTATTAATTCATGAAAGGATTTCTGAAACCAACATTTCTCCTTGAAGGATAAGAGATGTAAAGTTTCTGAGCAGGCGGAGAAAAATGATCTTTTCACAAATATCTTTTATTATAAAAAGTCACCTGACTCCCATAAAGTATACTCGTATATTAAAAAATATATTTTTTTTTTGTAGTAAATGCTCTCTTCATTCATTTACTTGGTTTATTAAGGGTTCCTTTCACTTATCTTTGGGCAGACTTAATAGGCATTAGAAGTTATCTATCCAATTAAGAAAGGGAATTTATCTTCTGCCTTTTTTTTTTTTTGCTTTCACCAAATAGTACAGTAGTCTGTAGATGTGGTTACAAAGCAACAAATCTGATTATTTGTGGGCGGCTTATAGCTGAAGTCTCATCACCACTCATTGCTT